GAGCATCAGGGGGCCCATGAGGCAGGGGGGCGCGCCCGGGGGGTAGGCGCGCCCCCACCCTCGGGGATAGGGTGTGGGGCCCCGACCTTGATTCTTTCACCAGTATTTTTTATATATTCCAAAAATAATCTTTGTTGATTTTCAGGTTATTCAGAAAACTTTTATTTCTGCACAAAAATAACACCATGGCAATTCTACTGAAAACAACGTCAGTCCGGGTTAGTCCCCTTCAAATCATGCAAGTTAGAGTCCAAAACAAGGGCAAAAGTGTTTGGAAAAGTAGATATGACGGAGACGTATCACCCCTCGATTACCTTCGGCTTCACATTAAAGGTCTTGAGCCATAAACCGAAGTGAGGGGTAATACGAAGAAAGGCCTCGCACATGACAATAAACGCCGAGATGTGAAGAAAGTAGTCTGGAGCTAGATCGTGAAAATCTAACCCGTAATAGAACATGAGTCCGTGAACGAAGGGATGGAGAGAGAACCCTAGCCCCCGGAGGAAGTGAGAGATGAATACGACCCTCTCGCCGGGTTTGGGAGTAGGGATAACCTGTCCTTTAGCAGGTAGCCTATGGGGAATTTCCGCGGTCAGGTATCTTGCCGCCCGGAGCTTTGCGATATCCTCCTCTGTGACGAAGGAGGCCACCCACCGGCCTTGAAGGCTGGGTCCGGACATGACTGGGAGGCTTGGAGCAATTAAGTTGAAACCTGGGTGTTGGAATTCGAGATTGGAAAGGTTGAGGAAGAGGTAGGCGCGGAGGAGAAAGACGGGTCTGAGCCCCTTTATAAAGGCGATGAATATCAAACGCCTCCTCATAGGCCTTAAAGCCTGCCTATTCCCAAGGGATCATGCCAACGGAACAATTGGGTTATCCACGCCCATATTAATGAGAATACCGTGATAAGGGGACATGATCTCTGCTTCGACAAGACGTGCCAATAAAACCGCGTCTTAAAACGTGGAGCGGGAGGCTAAAAAATGGTTCGAAATAATGGCCGGGCTGGGACGTGATGTCGTGCTACAAAAAATGTCAGCAAATTGGACTTGTAAAATATTATACTCTTTGCGGATATATGTGGTGTTTGTTTTACAGAGGCGGACACGTTCTTTGTGTTCGAGAGCTGTTTTGGAGTATTCGGAGGAGGAACCCGCCTTCAATGTCGAAGACGATCTGCGCGCCGGACGCCTCATCATTGAAGCCTGGTTTAGGGGCTACTGAGGGAGTCCTGGATTAAGGGGTCCTCGGGCGTCTGACCTGTTGGACATGGGCCGGACTAATGCATGGGCTATGAAGATACAAGACAAAAGACTCTCCCCCGTGTCCGGATGGGACTCTCCTTGGCGTGGATGGCAAGCTTGGCGTTCGGATATGAAGATTTCTTTCTCTGTAACCGACTTTGTACAACCCTAGTCCCCTCCGGTGTCTATATAAACCGGAGGGTTTAGTCCGTAGAGGCAATCATAATCATACATGCTAGACTTCTAGGGTTTTCGCCATTACGATCTCGTGGTAGATCAACTCTTGTAACCCGCATACTCATCAATATCAATCAAGCAGAACATAGGGTATTACCTCCATCAAGAGGGCCCGAACCCGGGTAAAACTTTGTGTCCCCTGTCTCCTGTTACCATCAACCTTAGACGCACAGTTCAGGAGCCCCTACCCGAGATCCGCCGGTTTTGACACCGACACGCAATCCTGAAAAAACAATTTTAACGTCACCAAATTCAACAATGATGATGACTTCCTTCTTCTCTCCAACGATCAATCCATGTGGAACGAGGCTTTGAACTCTCCCGACCTCCTCTACGTTGGCTACGACATATTAAGGTTGAAGACCTGACTTTTTTTTCCGAGGATGGGCCTACAAGGGCCATCTTTGCTTTGAGGACATCCCTAAAGCATGATGGTTAGCTCGAGAATGTGACCAGCTCGTCAACGGTCGAGTCGGGCGGAACCATGCTGTGAACTCTTTCGACCTCCTCTACGTCGGCTATGCCATATCGAGGTTCAAGGCACGGACAAAATTATGTGGAAAGGAGTCTTTCATCATGCGTACAAGGTTTGTCTTTTTTTGTTGTTGCTGCTTTGAGGGCATCCTCAAGCATTTGGTTAGCTTGAGAGCGACGACCTGCTCCTTTTCATCAGATTTTTTATGATGGTCCCCACTTATTCAAGTAGGAGGTGTCCGCTACTACTTTTGGTTGTGCCCGACTGTTCCTGGAGCTCATTGGTGATGCAAATGATCTCAATCTGGAGAAGTGCCCATGTGTCTCCCGATTAGTATGAAGTCAAACTTGATAAAGTTTTTCCCGCAAAAAAAAACTTCATAAAGTTTGACCATATTTATATGAAAAATATATCAACATCTACAATACTTAAGCTATACTACGATTTAAAACTGAATTCATGACGTATCTAATGATATTGGTTACATATTATGAATGTTGATGCTTTTTTTCAATATAAAGTCGTATCAAGTCTGACTTCAGACAAAAATCTTATATGCGGAGTAAAACATACCGGGGCCCAAAAACAAATAATACCGGAGGGAGTATAAGAAAGAAAGCTCCTTATAAGTAATGAAAAATCTTTTGGCCCCTTGAACAAGCATTGGTTTTCGATACCGGCTTGGGGAGGCAGTACTCCAACAGTACAACGGTAGATACGATGCATTTATATATTGCACACATCGACGACGATCCATCCCGTCAGTTTCCGAGTCACGAAAGCCCCTTCCATGCGGGCCCCCGGGAGAGCGCGCGCCCACTGGCCCCACAGGCAGCGGCACGGCTAAAAACGGGGGGACGCTTCCCTTTCATCTCGCGACTATAAAAAAGAATGGGCGGCCCTGTCCTCTCCCCTCTCCTCGCCTCGCCTTGTCCGCCCTCCGCTCCATTCGTTTCGATCTATTTCGGCTTCCTCTCCTCCAAGCTTCGGCCATGGCCGCCACGATCCAGTCCGTGAAGGCCCGCCAGATCTTCGACAGCCGCGGCAACCCCACCGTCGAGGTACGCACGCGCCCCCGATCTGTACGTTCTGCTCCGGTCCGACTCGATCTGGTAAGACGGCCTGGTTTCGATCTGGTGATTCGTCCGTCGGCCGTGGGTCGGGGCTTCTGGGGCGCTGGCCGTAGGTTTCTGATGCGCTAGATTCGAGGGGTTTTGGGTGGGTGGGACGGTAGGTAGGATGCCGAGGGATGTGCTAGATTCGATGTGAGGTGGGTTGTTTAGTCGGATTACTGTGGCGCTCGTCATGCATTTAGATCGGCTGGTCGCCATGCCCTGTGTTTATGTAGTCATTGCGGTTTCGTGCCCTGGTTGTTGCTTAGTGCTTATCGTTTGATCTGTGCATAATTCCGTAGTGTGAAGTAATGTGACGAAAATCTAAATGAGTGTAGCATCTCATTCTGGTCCAAGTGGCATTGGGTGTGCAGGTAGGATGTAAAATGTCGTTTGCTTGTTGCCAATCCTTGGCCAGTTTCTTTTCATATGTTAGATAGATTTGACGCAAACTGGCTTGTTCAGTCAGATAGATGCTGGGTAGAACGATTTTTTATTTTGCCTGCCAGCCCTCCATTGTTTGTTTTCACAGTGTGTATCAACAGATGGTTGTTTGCCGTGCTTGGTGTTTATATAGCTAAATGTAGCCATATGGCCTGTGTCCTAGTTGCATGCGGCATTGTCTGGATTTTATTGTTTAAGCTATGCACAATGCCAAATTGTAAAATATTTTGGCAAGTTATTTGGCTAATCTCATGGTTTTGTGCATCAGGTTGATGTGTGCTGCTCAGATGGAACCTTCGCCAGGGCCGCTGTTCCCAGCGGTGCATCAACTGGTGAGTTATTTTGTTATTATCATCACTCTCTTCTTTTCAACCTTAAGTTTCTGCTTTGGTTTCCTGAGTTCCTGACTAGTGAAGGCACAAACTCTTATTTGGATCATTATTTATGGAATGTTATTGTATTGGTTTTGTTTAACTAGTCTTGTCTGAATCATCCCTCTTATGTAGGTGTTTATGAAGCTTTGGAACTGAGGGATGGTGGATCTGACTACTTGGGAAAGGGTGTATCCAAGGTTTACATCCATTTGAGCGAATTTTATCTTCACATTCTTTAAATCTATGTCATAGTTAATAGTCATGTAATGTGGCTGCTGTATATGTTTTTTTTTTTGCCTCAACTCTATGCTTTTGTTACACTAGCAATATTGTTGCCAGCTTTTGAAATTTTCCTACTTGTTTACCAAATTATTATGCCAAATGGACCAAACAGTGCCATCTTTCCAGTTATCCTGTTTGTGAGAACAAGTTATTTTGCCATGTTGGTTTCATCCATACAATGTTTCCTTGTGCTGTATAACTTGATGTTTCTAGTTTAATGTGGTAGGTTGTAGCTTTTTTTCTTTGATATCTCATTGCCGTTGATTATGTGTAGTAGCTTAGGATTATGTATTTATGAAGTGAATAATCATGGGCAATATCTCTTGTGCACATTTTCTTATTTACTAAAAAACCAACTTGCTCAAGTACTGTCATGAAATGAACAACTCAGGATCATTTAGTGCTTGATGTTTCACTATAGCTATCCGGTTTTTTTCTATTGTAGCGAATAGTCCATTTGCATGCATAATTTAGTCTTTTCTTTGTATTTACATGTATTTTTCTTTTTTTCTTTCACAGGCTGTTGACAATGTGAACTCGATTATCGCGCCAGCTTTGATTGGCAAGGTTAGCATTGTCTCTGCCCCCTTTTCTATTGTGATATGGGAGTTGAATGCATAATTCATTCAGTGCTCTCTTTCCTTCCACAGGACCCTACAGCTCAAACTGAGCTCGACAACTATATGGTTCAGCAGCTTGATGGAACCAAAAACGAATGGGGTTGGTGCAAGCAGAAGGTATTACATAATCCACAACGAGTTCTACTTGGTGCCAATGCTAATTTCCATATGCAGATCCCCTTCTGACAGCTCAATTTCTTCTGTATATTCAGCTTGGTGCTAATGCAATCCTGGCTGTGTCACTAGCTGTTTGCAAAGCTGGAGCCAGCGTCAAGAAGATTCCGCTGTACCAGGTGTGCATCATTGCTAATCAACTCTTTTAATATTCTACATTTGTTTGCTATTGCGAAGGGGAGCCTTGGCGCAGTGGTAAAGCTGCTGCCTTGTGACCATGAGGTCACGGGTTCAAGTCCTGGAAACAGCCTCTTGCAGAAATGTAGGGAAAGGCTGCGTACAATAGACCCAAAGTGGTCGGACCCTTCCCCAAACCCTGCGCAAGCGGGAGCTACATGCACTGGGGCTGCCCCCCTTTATTTGTTTGCTATTGCCTAAAGTCTTTGAACATGAATATATTCTTCACTGCAGCACATTGCCAACCTTGCTGGCAACAAGCAATTGGTTTTGCCTGTTCCTGCATTCAATGTCATCAATGGTGGATCCCATGCTGGAAACAAGCTTGCTATGCAGGCAATGCTCTGAACTAAGATTTTCACATCTTTCATCATGTTGTTTTCGCACATTTCTTATTTATGCCTTTACTTGCATATCTGCAGGAGTTCATGATCCTTCCTACTGGAGCTGCCTCATTCAAGGAGGCAATGAAGATGGGTGTTGAAGTGTACCACAACTTGAAGGTAATTCTTTCATCTTCTTTTTCTCTTTGCTATCTTGTAAAAAGCAAATTTACTAAAACTAACATTTTCTGTGACAGTCTGTTATCAAGAAGAAGTATGGACAAGATGCCACCAATGTTGGAGATGAAGGTGGTTTTGCTCCTAACATTCAGGTATTTCCCTGTCCTTAGAGGTTTAAGATCAGATTTCCTTGCTTTGTTATGCCTTGTTATTTCGCCGACAGTTGCTGATTGTCATGTTTGGACGTATAGAACTACTGTGTTGTTATAAATTGAGGTCAATGTTTGTCGGGTGTGATCTGAGTTCTTTTTGTTTTCGGGTGTTGTAGGAGAACAAGGAGGGCCTTGAGCTCTTGAAGACTGCAATTGAAAAGGCTGGATACACCGGCAAGGTTTGTCTGCTTGAATTAATCTGTTGTCACACACTTCTCAGTGAGCTTTTAAGTTAGTGACTGAAGGAGATTTGTTGGTTTGGGAAATTCTAGGTTGTCATTGGAATGGATGTTGCTGCTTCAGAGTTCTACAATGACAAGGACAAAACCTATGACCTCAACTTCAAGGAAGAGGTAATTAGCCCCATGGTTTGTTTTGTGGCAACAATTTGTTCTCTTTTCATGAGCATTTTTAACATTGCCATCCCTTGCTGTAGAACAACGATGGTTCCCAGAAGATATCTGGAGATAGCCTGAAGAATGTATACAAGTCATTCGTGAGCGAGTACCCCATTGTGTCGATTGAGGACCCATTTGACCAGGATGACTGGGTGCACTATGCTAAGATGACTGAAGAATGTGGAGTGGAAGTTCAGATTGTTGGTGATGACCTTCTAGTCACCAACCCAACCGTGAGTGATTTGTTTTCTGTGGTGTAGGTGAGCATTTTCATTCTGTTGGATCACTGTAATTAATTTGCTGTATCACTATGTTGTGCAGAGAGTTGCAAAGGCAATCAAGGAGAAGTCATGCAATGCTCTTCTGCTGAAGGTATTATTCTCTTCAAACAGAAGCTGTTATTGATTCTTCTCCTTTGGTCGTCATAGTACAAGTACTCCTTCCGTCCATAATAAGGACCTGATCAGATGGAGTATGCACTACATATTCTGATTGTTTCATCCTTTTCATGTGTAGGTTAACCAAATTGGATCCGTCACTGAGAGTATCGAGGCCGTGAAGATGTCAAAACATGCTGGTTGGGGTGTGATGACCAGTCACAGGAGGTACATACTAGATACTGCCTTGTTACCCATCCGTTTCCCCCTTGTTTCTATCATTATTACCATTTGTATGCTTATGTACATTTGTGGTGTGCAGTGGTGAGACTGAGGACACATTCATTGCTGATTTGGCTGTCGGTTTGTCCACGGTATGATTTTATAATCTTCATTTTAATTGTTTGTCTGAATAATTTTAATGAGACTACTGTTTTTTCTCCTCTGGATCTATCAGGAGTAACTGACCAATGTTTCTTCATGTGCAACAGGGTCAGATCAAGACTGGGGCTCCCTGCCGCTCAGAGCGGCTTGCCAAGTACAACCAGGCAAGTGGCTTTCCTGTAATTCTTGCACTGCAGAACCATTCTCCTGATATTCTGTTGACCAACATGACCTCTCACAATAACAAAAAACAAATTGTTCTTCCTCTTTAATCTTCTGTTCGATGCAATGTGCTCATTTAAGAAAGATTTCTCATCTTGTGTTTGGCGTTAGACTGATCTTGCATGTTTGGTTTCTGATATTCTTTTGTTCAGTGTAATGTGTTTATTTGAGCATTCATGTCTTGTTTTTTTTATCGGTTTCCCAAATTTACACCAAGGGGTTATTTCTTTTCTAATTGGAACAGCTTCTGAGGATCGAGGAGGAGCTGGGCGCTGCCGCTGTGTATGCCGGCCTCAAGTTCCGCGCACCGGTGGAGCCATACTAGATGGGATCTGCATCTGAGACACCACCACTCTGCACTTGTTTTTGTGAAAGTGGGCGTGTCTTAACTCGCGGAATGAACTATGGTTGAAGCTCTTAGGACTTGTCGAGCAATAATGTACCGCATGTTGCTGTGAACGGGACGGATGTGTACCAAACTTGCTCCAATTTTGGTCTTTGTGGTGAGCGAGCAAGTACGCCTGATTACCTTTTGGATCTGTAGTAAACTGTTTGGCTGTTGGCATCGTATTTGGCGTCACTTTAATCTTGTTGCAGAAAGCATGCTTTTTGTTCGCCATTCCTAATTTACCACTGTTTTCTGTCATCTCTCTGTTGTTGTTATTATTGTAGATAAGAAACCTGCTTGTAAAACAACATACTAGTAGATGAATAAAAGAGGAAATGTGAGTACCTAAATGCAAGTACTACATACGGATGTATAGTTTGACACTCATTTTGCTCTGCAAGTCTCTTATTGTTGGAATCTTAAAAAAAAAGGAACACAGGGAGCACATGATAACGCAAATGCTTGTGTTTGTGGAAGTGGCCGAACCTTGGGCCGCTCGCTCCCAAGAAACCCACCCACGCGGACGCGCCTGTCTGGCCCAGCCACACCTTATCTCTTTATCCCCTGTCCACTTGATGTTCTCTTCCACTCTTCAATTCAATTCATGGCGTCTTTCCTCTTTGCCTCGTCCACACCCATCCCGTCTGTAGCAGGGAACAGCGCACCGTCGACCATCCATTGCTTGGGTCTTTTTTTTTTGCCGATTGTAGCTTTTGTTTGGCCGGTGGCAGCAAAACATCTGCGATTGCAACCTTTTTGCTACGACCGGCTCTGCCAGTGCTGGATATGGTGACCGCGGGCTGGAACCAGCAGTGTTTTTGCTGCGAACCCTGGTGACCACGGGCTGGAACGAGCTGCATTTTTTGTTGTGCCCGTGGTGACCACGAGCTGGAATCAACAACGTTTTTTGCTGCGTTCGTGGTGACCGCGAGCCGGGCAGTGGACGTGGCGTGATATTGCAACCGAGACTAGAGCGCGCTGGAACGGTCTTGCTATCTTCTTAACTTCAGAGAAAGTGTACCTCCTGGGTTTTGATGTGCCATATGTCCTAAGAAACATTTCAACCTTCAAATGTATTTCTTGGTTATATCTTGTCTTCAGTGAAAAATAAAAGGGCAGTGGCCACCATCGACAAAATAACAACTAATGTGACCACCGATGAAGTAGCTGAATAAAAGAGAATAGCTAATCAGCATGTTGCATCAGGATTAAAGGCCTTTACTTTGTGTTTGTTATGGAGACAAGAGGATGTTAGAGTCAGAACAGGCAGCAATAAGTGCTTGTGCATTAATGGAAGACCTTTCCTATTTTTATAATTAATTTCTTCCTCTTTTGAAATAGAAAAAAAATGGGTTAGAGCAGTACCTGCAATAACTTTGGTACGCAGTCCTGCAAATACAAATACGAGAATGAGATCCGATGGATGGTCCCAGTAAACAAAAGGAAGTAAAGTCATAGAAAAATGTTGCTCAACTAACAAGTGTTTTTGGTTTTAGTACTGCCTAGTGTCTAGCGCCGCTGCAATACATTGCCCTCGTGGGATACGATGGAGTTGCCCTAATGGAACGGTCTTAGATTTTGAAGAAACACGTGTACAATGTTTATGCTTTTTCTAGGGCAAATCTTCGTCACGTCTTATTATATAATAATAGGAAGAGAAGAAATCGGTATAAAGGGAATTAGATAAACTGTGCTACACAGAGATCGCTCAACATCCTATTACAGAGCGAAATGCAGGCAACAAGTAACTCTGCTATGAAGTAGGGATCAATCTAGAACCAAGGTTTCTCTTGCTCCTGCTTATGCAAGCTTTTGTCTGCTGTATCTATTTTTGTTTTGATTTTCTCATTCAATGTCTGTGTCTGACTATCTGGAGTTCTGCCTTTTTGCTGCTGTTGAGTTATGTTCCAGGGGATGTGGTATTGGTGGTTGCAGGTTTAAGCTTTGTTTATTCCCTGGCTTTCAGTCTGGCTGCATCGCAATTGGTCAAGGGTTTGTTGGGCACCTGACCTGAAAGTGAGTCTTGGTACTCTAGATGACTTTGAGTGCAGTTGGATCGTTTATATGATCAGACTAGGTCCATCTTATTTGGGTAACATGGCCGATTAGGGATTATCAGGTGGGTACCATGGATTATGGGCAATTTCTTATTTTATTTTGAAGGAACGGGTAATTTCTTATTGCAAGCTCTATTAGATTCTTTAATAAATAAGTACCCATTTCAACTTTACTTTTACTATTTAGAAATTTTGTGTTTCGTGGTTCTCTATGTAGCAATGTTATATCTGTATATATCTACAGGAGCGTTAGACTAAATAACAAGTAAAGTGTTCCGAATTCGATAAAGGTCACAGTCTAACTGACACACACCAACAATATAATTTTCTTTACCTTAAATATTTATATGATATTTTTAGGAGAATTGGGCGCGCGCCTCATTATGATTGCTCAAATGCTATTGTCAAAGAGAAAAATGATAGAAAATGTTGTGGATACGTCCAACACATGGAAATGTTTGAATCAGAAACTCTAAAATAAAAGCAGTAAAAATAAGAGAATTAAAAGTCCCATTTTACAAAACAGAAATGCAAATTCTAATTGGAGTTCAAAGTAATACCGTGCGTGTTATGTATGCAGAATGTGTCGTTCCTTTAATTTGTGAGTTGAATGTTGCCCATGTCCTTGACATCGTTGACACTCATAGCCACCTGAGGAGTAGTGTGCTCTGTCTTGCTGATGATCTAATCTCACTGCCCAGCTGACTGTCGTCGTAGAAAAATTGAGGATTCTTTCCGCCTTTTCCTTGAATGTTGAGTTGAGTTATCGAGTAATTTGCCGGCACTAGGATTGTAAGTTTTGGGTATCGGAATGACTCCATCAGATACAACCTAGCTTGCAGTCCAGTTTAAGAAGAGACATAGGCACATCAGAATGTACCAAATATGAGAGGTGACTTCTATTTGCTCGTGGCACCGGGATGCCGGGTAATATCTGAACAAGTCTTCATCTTCCCATGCTAGCTGTGGCTATGCCGACTCCATGAATCCATGTTTGAGAAGAAGAGAGAGCATCGTCACAGCTGCGGCATGCAAAAAGGTTAGTCATCTTTCTGTGAAGTAGTGTCCTCCTTTCTCTTGTGGTGAACTTAGCCTAGGTGAGGTGATCCACCTCAATGTGGTCTCAAAGAAAAAACGACTTGACTTGTACTAGTCTACAATTAAGATCGGCACAGGTATGTATGTATGTATATACTCCCTCCGTTCCTAAATATTTGTCTTTCTAGACATTTTACATAGACTATCACATACGGATGTATGTAGACATATTTTAAAATGTAGATTCTCTCATTTTGCTCCGTATGTAGTCATTTGTTGAAATATCTAGAAAGACAACTATTTAGGAACGGAGGGAGTAGTCACTAAGATTGAGCGTTATTCCTTCAGGGCCATGGACGACGCCAACTTAGACATGAATAGCAGCTGCCCTCTTCCTCAGTGGAATCAAATTCCTTTTCCAGACATTGGAACATACAGTATCGACTCAGGTATATATGACTGGTTAGTTGATTCGGAAGGTGGCACTGATTACTCGGCATGCTTCGTTAATTGCTCACGAGCAATAACGAATACTTCTCCGTTCCTAAATATAAGTCTTTTTAGCCATTTTAAATGGACTACAACATACGGATGTATGTAAACATATTTTAGAGTGTAGATTCACTCATTTTGCTTTGTATGTAGTCACTTGTTGGAATCTCTAGAAAGACTCATTTTGCTTGGCCATGATTCCCTTAGACGACCTAAATGATCATGAATTTAAATGATCGTGAATTTAATGGTAGAGAACCATACAAACACAAGTTATGGAGATATCGTGAAATTAATAAGAAAGGGATTTCCTAGTGATGTTGTTCCCCATACAAATTTTCAGATTCTGAGAATTCAATCAGTGTTTTCTGGGGAGCGTTATATTTCCTTTTTAATTTGGCCTACTTTCCCATTTACTCAAGTGTGTTACCCTCTTTAATACTTTCTTAATGAACAATCATGCGCCATGCAGCTACTTTCACGAAGTGCTTTCCTCTCGAGTGTGGTGGGGTTCGCAATGTGCGTACATGATTATCCTCGATGGCCTGTATTAGGGGCCAGCTTATGACCATGTTCATCCCCTAAGTTCTAGTAGCTGAGGCTTCTCTTATTGGTGACCACTTGCTTGCGGGCCCTTTCATGGGTCGTGTTGTTGGATGCTTCCTCACATGATGTGAAGAAAGATGATGTCGCCGATGTTCAGAGCATATAGCCATGCAGCCTTGTCAAGTTTGGCATTTGTGATGTGCTATGTATTAACAGATTTTACTATTGTTAGATGTAGTATTGTGTGTTCACAAATTTACTGTCATTTTGTCATGTTAGGTGTCAAGTTTACCATTGTTAGCAAATGGTGTACAATCTGGTTGCATGTAGCCCCAGATGATTTTCACTAGCATAATTAGCATTGTAGCTTAAATAACTTGCAAGCATGTTTGTCCGTAGGCTGCAGTTTATGAACTAGAAATACATATACATTTCTTAAGGGGGATCCCACTTAATCCATCAAACTTCTAGTGGGCTGTCCCCTAGTTCCCCTAGTACCCATCAAGCAGCGGGGAAAGGTGCCGGGCAGCCCTGGCTGCGTACTCGGCACCTCGATGGTGCGCGTCACTGTCGGACCCGAAGCCACATAGGGGCCGACCCCGACGCCGGTCATCACGGCCACTCTGCTGGTCGCGTTCATTGGTCCCTTCCTAAAGATGTTCCTAGATGAAGGAGCACTTGTAGTCGCGTGTAATAATGGTAAAGAAAATGCATTAGTCCTGTACAAGAACGAGGCACCCAAGACAAGCAATAGCTAAGTTGTGAATATTCTACCCAACCGATTATTTGCCTTGCGTTTTTACTGATTGACTGATGATGCACAATAGTCCATACAAATCCAATGATCTGCTAAAGCATTTTCCGACAGATTTCACGACGCTAGCATCTTCTCTTTCTAATTTTGCTTTTCTTTCAGAACTATGGCGACAGTTGTTAGTAAAGATGAATCTCTATCTCCTCCCAACCAGCGAACTACTTTACTTTGGCCCATTCGTCTAACAAAACTATGCTTGCTTCAGATGTCATCTTCTCAATCAACAAGAACAAGGAAGAAGGCCACCTCCCCCTAAAGTGATAGGATGTTATCTTCGACCCACTCGGATAGCCTGAGAAGCTTCTTGGTCATGTCCGCGCTCTTTGAGAAGTAAGACTCGGCATTGGCAAGCATCACAGAGGCATCATGTTGGACAGCCTCCACGCTTCTGTAGTAACCATTTTGCAGTCTTGTCCTGATCACCTCCATGGAAAACTGGACAGGAAACCTACAATTGTTGCACACAAAAATATCTATCTTTAGATGGATGTTACTTCATCATTCATCGATAAAAAGCACCAATATATACTCATAATTTTCTAAACCAACAATGCTCAGGCAAGGAGGCACCAGGTCTGAAAAAAAGCTACTTCTATAGTACTCCCTCCGTCCGGAAATACTTGTCATCAAAATGAATAAAAGGGGATGTATCTAGATGTGTTTAGTTCTAGATACATCCCTTTTTGTCCATTTTGATGACAAGTATTTTCGGACGGAGGGAGTATTTTGCAAGGACAGGCACTATCAAAACCTTGAAATAAACATTTATTTATACTTATACAGGGCCTTTTAATATTCTAGATACTCATCCTACGAGCATATGGATGGAAAAGAGTAAATAACAAAACAATTTAATGCAACACACGACATAAAAAAAGAAGTGTATGCATTGGTTAAATTTTGTCTAAAGAAACATCCATTGTATTCTAACAACTATGCCTCATAATAGAAATGGAAAATGAGGCCTTGTACAAGCACAGGCAGCATCTTCTCATGTCAAAACGGCATTTATTTTACTTTGATAACAGAAATTAGCAAATCTAAGTTTTATGCACGCTACTAGATATGCCAACCATAGAAGGTAGTTTGTAGAAGTGTTTGCGCACATTTCCTAAAAAGCAACATCTAAAATAATCATTAAAAAAACTACGCTTAGTGTTCCATAAACTAAACTTTTCAACCTCATTTTTCGGTCAAACAAGATGCCTGAAGAATGGAGAAGGGGTATATTAGTACCAATCTTCAAAAACAAGGGGATGTTCAAAGTTGTACTAAGTACCGTGAAATTAAGCTGATGAGTCATACGATGAAGCGAAGTTTGTCCAACATCATCTGAGATGAAGAGAAGTTTGTCCAACATCTTCTGAGATGAAGAGAAGCTTGTCCATACAATGAAGACCGGGTCCAGAATGATGATATACGAGATAGAGTTAGGGTAGCACCGATTGAAGGGAAGCTTGTCCAACATTGTCTGAGATGGTTTGGGCATATTCAGCGCAGGCCTCGAGAAGCTCCGGTGCATAGCGGATGGCCAAAGCGTGCTGATAATGTCAAGAGAGTGGGAAGAGTTCGTAAAGAGAAATCTGAAGGACTGGAGTATCACCAAAGAACTAGCCATGGACAGGGGTGTGTGGAAGATGTGCCAGAACTAGAGTTGGTTACAAGATCTTTTGGGTTTCAACTCTAGCCTACCCCAACTTGTTTGGGACTAAAGGCTTTGTTGTTGTTGTTGTCATACAATGAAGCTATGGGAGTCATTGGGAACCTCTTAAGAAGGATGACAAGCGTGGCCAAAAATCAGTTTAATTTCATGCCTAGAAGGTCGACCATGGAAGCCATTTTCTTGGTACAACAACTTATGGAGAGATACAAGGAGCAAAAGACCTGCATGTGGTGTTCATTGACTTGGAGAGGGCCTGGAATGTCAAGTGGTGGGCCCTAGAGAAACACAAAGTTCCAACAAAGTACATTACTCTCATTAAGGACATGTACGATAATGTTCGAACAAGTGATGACGACACTGATGACTTTCCAATTAAAATAGGACTGCACCAAGGGTCAACTTTGAGCCCTTATCTTTTTGCTTTGGTGATGGATGAGGTCACCAGGGATATACAAGGAGATATCTCATGGTGCATGCTCTTTGCGGACCATGTGGTGCTAGTCGACGATAGTCGGACGGGGTTAATAGGAAGTTGGAGCTGTGGAGACAGACTTTAGAATCAAAAAGTTTTAGGCTTAGTGGAACTAAGACTGAGTACATGAGGTGTGGTTTCAGTACTACTAGGTACGAGAACAGGGAAGTTAGCCTTACGAGCAGGTGGTACCTTAGAAGGACACCTTTCAGTATTTGGGCTCGATGCTGCAGAAGGATGGTGACATTGGCGAAGATGTGACCCATCAAATCAAAACTGAATGGAGAAGTGGCGCCAAGCTTCTGGCGTTATCTGTGATAAGGGAGTTCCACAAAAGCTAAAAGGCAGGTTCTATAGGACAACAATTCGACCTGCGATGTTATATGGCAATGAATGTTAGGCAACTAAAAGGCGACATGTTCAACAGCTAGGTGTAGCAGAGACATGCATGTTGAGATGGATGTGCTCCACACAAGATAGAACGACGTCCGGAGTGATGATATACATGATAGAGTTGGGGTGACGCCGATTGAAGAGAAGCTTGTCCAACATCGTTTAAGATGGTTTGGACATGTTCAGCACAGGCCTCCAGAAGTGTCAGTGCATAAGAACGGTTAATGTGAGATGGTAATGTCAAGAGAGGTCAGGGTAGACCAAACTTGACATGGGAGGAGTCCGTAACGAGAGACTTGAAGGACTGGAATATCCAAAGACTTAGCCATGGACAGGAGTGCGTGAAAGTTAGCTATCCACGTGCCAGAACCATGACTTGGTTTCGATATCTTATGGGTTTCAACTCTAGCTTACCCCAACTTGTTTGGGACCGATAGGCTTTGTTGTTGTAGAGTTCCACAAACCTTTAGTTGGGAAAAATCACACAAATATAGGCATTATGTTAACCCGTTCAAAATAATGTGATTTCATAATATGTATACGAGAAATCTGTTATCCTTCAATTTCCATCAATTCTATACCTAATGATGATTATTTCACACTAGTCATTATTCTCACTTGTGTTGCTAAATTAAAAGAAATGCAAATTCATCAGAACTGAATGCATTTGTTCACGAGTTACCTGTTTATGAACTCTGATTTTCCTGCAACAGTATCCAACTTCAGGACACCATAGTGATCCTGAAAATCCATAAAGAAATACCATAGAGAGTCAACAACAACAAGAGTAATCAAAGAGTGCACAAATATAGTAGTTTGACTTTACCTGGTTTCTGCGAGACTTGTTCTGTAAATTATTCACTGCTGATAACAATTTATTCCTAATACTGGAATCAATATGTGGATGTTTCCATGGAACCAATGGGCTATCAGCATCATAGAGCTCCCAGGGGCTATGCAGATGATCTGAACCATCATTCTTGTACTGTACGGCATATTTATCCCATGGACTCTCAGGAAAATCAGGTGACTTAGGTCTTATTGCCAACACACGTCCCTCCCACCAACTTCCTCCTCCCTCATCATTCGCCCACCAAATTCTGCACTTATCTCTGATAGTCCAGTTCTGCGCAACAGCAGCTTCAAACCGTGTTCTTTCCACCAGAAAATCGGGGAAGCCAACCAGCTCAGGCAATGTGATTACAAACTCTCTGTTAAACCCGCTTGAAGTGTCGTCAATGAATTTAAGTGTTAATTTACAGCAGCTTTCACCAGACCCTTTATAAGTGGTATAACAAAGATCCTGAATTTTGCAAAGCTCTACAGCTTTAAGGCCTTTGATCCGATTCCATGGGCAACTATCCGATAATCGCATTCCTTTAAGATATTCTTCATGGCCCTGAAAAAAAAAAGCAATCACAAAATAGTATGACAAGAATAACTTCATAGATACTATTTTCGGAGCCACAATGGCCCATCTGTTTGTATTAAATTGATAATACATGCACCCACCCGTCCCCAAAAAAATTCAACCAGTTACGTTTCAGCTGGGGTGGGTAGAAATGAGAAGCAGGAAAACTTCTTTTTTTTTGCAGCTAAAAGTTATTTGCACCAAAGTCATCCCATCACAGAATAAAACAGAAAATAACATTACCTGTCGCAAGTACATAACCTCATCGCCATGTTGAGGAATATAACGGTAAATATCTTCATGCTCCAACAACATCAACCAACAACTCGAGGATACTTGAGGCTTTTCTGCCAATGAATGTGTATCAGGAACTCTGTTCCTAGTAGACCTTAAACCAGCAGTCTTTGATGGTGAACCCCACTCATGCACGTCTGCACCAATTTGTCTCCCACTAGTTGATGCTTCATGGGAAGAATTTTTCACATGAGAGATAGCATTCCTTGCTCCACCATCAGTGTATGCACATGACCTCCTTGTGCTTCTTCGCAAATTACCAGTACCAGGTGCAACAGGACTGTACTCTGAAGGTTGATACCCACCATCATCATTGGAGACGGAGGTACTATCTCCATTGCCAGAATCTGAATCCAATTTTTTCTTGTGCTTACTTAACTTTGACCTTTGGTACACAGCAATCGTCTTCCCAGATTCAGAATGGAACTTCCTTGAATCATGAAAACCAGTGCTTTTATCTGTGCATTCCTGGAAATCTCTAGACGCACTAGGGAAGTCACTGCTTATATGTTGATTGGTGGTAGGATCCTCATCATGCTGCATGGGAACTTTATCACACTCAGAGTTCACGTCACTCCCTACTGCAGTAGTCTTTGATTTGTCCGGTGAACCTTTTGCATCTGGAATGCCTCTTGACCTGACTAACTTCAGTTTAATAGTAGACTGAGTAGTACTGTGGGACTGTTGGTTGCATTCTTTGTTGTTTACTTCCTCTACATGAGTATTATTGTTATTAGTTGTCCTTTCTTCACCAAGTAAATTATCTTCACTATAAACATCAGTATCGTGATTTTCATGGATGCTATCCAGACAAATTGCACGTTCACTCTTTTGTACAGTCTGCTCAACCGTTTGTTGCATGGCGTTACCATATTCATGAGGTGTCTTCTGAACACCAGATTTGCCACCATCCTGTGAAACTGCATTATTTGAAGAGGGCCACATGTCTCCAGCGGAAGAGTCACCAAACTTGCAACGCTTTGAAGATCGCTGCTTAACCTCACCCCACTTGATTGTGCTGTTACTATAAACAGAAGAAACATCATGTAGACCAGAGGTTGTTGTGCTTTGACCTCCATCTGCAGGTGGGTCAGCCTTGCAAACAGAGGAACTTCCAGGCTCAAAAGCTAGTTCCGGCTCAACTGATCCATGTCTGCCCCCCATGACTGATACAGCTGATGGAAATTCAACTTTTAAATCACGGCGTGGTATCCTCAGGACCAGTTTTCTGTTATTTCCAGAACTCCCCCGAGTTTCAGTGAAATGAGAAGGTTGTGTAACATCTTCTGAATCATATTGGTTACTCTCTCTACCAAGTCTTGGCCGGCTATACCATGCTGACGGCTCAGCTTCAATGCTTTCCGTGTTCAATTCACTGTCTGAGAGACTCTCTGAGTCCTCTTCATCCTCATCTGTTGAAGCTCCCATCTTTGTTAAAAAACTGAGTGCATGGCGAGCAGCGCGTCTTTGAGGTCGCAATCCCCTAGATTTAGGTGATCTTTTCCTTTTACTAGAGCGACCATTCTTAGACTTCCTAGCTCTGTGTGACCTTGACACAGTAGCAGCATCATGCTCATCCAAATTCCTCTTCTTAACTCGCCGACCAGATGAAGTCACAAGATCAGCCTGCAGAAGGTGTAATAAAGGAAAACAAGTCAAAAGGTTGTAATGCAACATAAAGGAAGGTGGCATGGTCTTTGATTGTTGCCTCTTACCTTTGATTTTTTCTTCTTTCTTCTAGATCTGCGAAGATTAGCACTATCGCTAAGGTTATTCCCATCAATCTCTGCACTTGAGAATGAAGCACCAGAGGAATCACCACTCAAATTCTCCTGTTCTCCTTCACTAGACTTGTCATCCATGCCGTTGTACTCGGAATCAGTATCATCAGAGATAACTTCAATCTCAGGTTCAAGCTCAAAGAAGTCCGGTATCTCTGGAAGTGGCTCCCACCTATCTGGATCAATGACTGGGATGATCTGGTATTCACCAGTGGTTGCATTGTACGTGGGGCCAACAGCAAAATCTACAGAGGGAGGCCGCCACTCAATACCCATGGTACCTAATCGCCGTTTCTGGTACATGCTTTGAAAAGGCTCTGGGTATGGCATCATACCTGCAATTAGCAAATAACAATTATAAGCATGTGCAACCCAGTAAAATTACTATACTATGCAGAGGATAGAAAGTAGAGAAGTTAGATACCCGAGTCACACAAAAGGTCTTGAATATTTCTCCTATAAGGTGGGAGCTGTGTCTCCTGGCACATTAAGAAAAACAGTGTAAACAAAACCTGGTAGCTCATGATGCACTTCGTGAACAGAGAAAAATACAGTTTCACACGGGCACGTATGACAAGGGACCAATGTCCTTTTTTTTTCAAAACCAGCTCAAATGGGTGTCCAATAGCTTCTGAAATCTTGAGTTATACTCCCTCGTCCCAAAATTCTTGTCTTAGATTTGTCTAGATATGGGTATATCTAATACTAAAATGTGACTTGATACATCCGTATTTAGACAAATCTAAGACAAGAATTTTGGGACGGAGGGAGTATGTTTTAGCATGTTTCAACATTCCTTACTACTGTGATGTTTGCTTTTTGGTTGTTCCGGATAAGCACCACCAATACTAAAAAGAGACCAGTTACAGACAGTACATCAAACCCTTTGTATGACTCCTGATGAGATGCGAGCCGTAGCCCCACAAGATCATTGATGTATGGAACATATTAAATATTACAGCTAACTGGAAAACACATCAAGTGAGGTGATCAGATATGGTGCGGGATACTTTTTACTTATAAGAACATACTGTAGTAGGCAATAACAGAACTTCAATGTTGAATGCTTTTAAGATTGCCATCAAAGTGAAACTTTCAGCCAATCAGCAGCAGTGCACGCTCCTTTTTATAATCCACATTGCTTAGCTACCGAGATGGCAACACTTCAGAAGTATAGTTGGCAGTCACAAGGAGGCTAACAAATAGCAAGGAGTCCAAATCATCTGACATAATATTAAACATATACTATGACGAACACAAGTCTAGGGAGTTTTCTTGAAAGCAACACCCAATGAAATGTTTCTATCTGATCTTCAGAACATAACAAAATGAAAATTTCTATTTTAGAAACAGATCTTGGAAACTGTATACATGATAGATTACTCTGATGCGAGTTAGTTTCACAAACTGAACAAAATATCATAAATTTTAGAGAAACAAAACAACTAAATTAGCTAACGCAAAGAAAAGAACAGATGATTCATATCTTCAGACGAACCTGATCAATAACATTTCCATTTGTATCTTGAGTAAGGGGTCGATAGTCTCCAAGAAAGAACTATTGCAAAACATGAATGATGAGCGTCAATGATTGAATAAAAGGTGGGATATTTCCCTAAACAGGGGGCATATCCAATGCAAACATATCTTGGTACAGTCATGCAAACTATCAGTGTGAACTGCTGAATGAGCTTTTGGTGGACTAAGTTTAGGGGATTAAAGTGCCACATGATGAATAATTTTGTGAATGATTAAACTGAATTGAAATATTGAATCTGTTTGTGCCTCATCCAACTGTTCACATGAGCACTGAGATGACAGTTTGCATGATTGCAACCAACATTGGCCTGCACTAGGCATTCTCCCCAATAACTTGATCAGTAACAGTTTGTGTACCTGATCATATTTCGCATCCTTCTGGGACTCACCCTGCCCTGTACCAATAAAGAATATTTGGCCAATCTCATCGGTGAGGATAAGTGATGTTCCATCCCTAAATGTCCATCCAGCGACACATCAGGATAACACAACACATAAAATAAATTCAGCAATCTATGGTAATTGATAAACAGTGCAAATTTTAATTTGGCATGGAAATGATGCTTCCTTCTATGTTAACATCCCAACCCCACACAGAAATATCTCAATTCAGTTGATTTTTCTCTGGTGTTTTTCTTCATTCTTCTCTATGTTTTATAAATTACTAGCTGAATGGTCATGCATTAAGGAATAGTTAAGAATGAATACTTGTAAAAGGGCCAAAACAAAAGGTTCAATTTGTTGAGAATACAAAGAAAATCGACAGTGACACTTACGGAGAGAACTTGCCATCAACTAGCTTAAAATGACCGGTTTCATAGATCTGTACAGGTTTTCCTTCCCATATCTGGATAAAGAAATAGCACATTTTGAGGACTGAAATAGTGATTAAGATTACAGAGATCTCGTTAGGAACTTACATCCCAGATGATTGTCATGCCATCATACCCAGCACTCATTGCTATACGAGGGTTGAATGGATGCACATCAAGAACAAATGTCTGTCGATAATGAAATTCATAAGAGCGTTTCATTGTGAACCTTTTAAATAAAAGAGGTTGAATAAAAAAGTGTAGATAAATTATGAAAGGGAATGGAATCACAACGTTGCACTTGCAACCAAACAAAGGTGCAGGTGCTAGATCCATTAAGCCATGCAAAAAATAGAAATGTACATGGAAGTCATGCAACTTTGATGGTGCTAACCAAAAATAATCCATTTCTAGACCTAAAATGTTCGTTTTAAAAACCAAGGTCGACAATGACGTAGGACAAAGAATTATAGCATCATAAGGAGAAGGTTATTAATGTGAAACAGTCTTGGCAGCCAAAGCACAAACGGTTCAGAAGTTAGTATCACAAATGGACAACAAAATGGATGTGAAATGCGCTGATCAAATGTTGGGGTTAAGGACAATATTGTTACAGCTACTAAATGGAAACCCTAGCACATAAAAAAAACTAAAAACCAAAAGAACTAAGAAAAATGAATTAATGCTTCAATCGCAAAGTGGCAATAATTTATAATGCAATTTGTAGTTTCGTATTCTTCAGAAAAAGAACTAACGCCTCTAAAACCACAATGTCCTAGTTTTTCAGTTCCATTTACACTTTATCATCTTTAATCCATGCCGCTTGCCAGCATATAGTCCCTCTGTTCCTAAATGTAAGACGTTTTTTAACGAACAGCAAAAACGTCTTACATTTAGGAACAGAGGGAGTACTTACTAAGGGAACACACCGATTCGATTAATTATGTTTTCATTAAGTGATGATGAATAGTGTACCAGTTAAGAATTGCAAGCGATAAAATTCACACATATCACATATGCACCCAACTGACCAAAAGTACCATGCATGAAATACTAGTAAACATGCTATGCAGGTCATTAACCAAAAGTAATTTTAATGCATAAACTGAATGGTGCATGCTTACAGATTCCTTGTGGCCAATCAGTGAATGTACTAAGCTCCCATCAGAAGCATTCCAAACACAAATTCTGCAGTCTGCAGAACGTAAGACATACTTTAAGGATACAAATGAGAACAATAAAATATAAACTATGTAACAAAACTCAGTTTCCGCACACTAGGAATACTAGGAACCACAAATGGCAATACATGCAAACACTGGAATAAAGAAAGGCTAAATATCAGCATGATCATAATGAAAAATATACAAAGTCAAATAAGGATACCCATGATAGCAGCAAGCACAAATCGGTTATCCAAACTCCAGACAATCATATTGACACCACGAGGAGTTGGCTGATGTCTTTGTCGTGGGCCACCACGAACTAGTTGAGGAGCCATTGGAGGTGGAGGGACCTTGAGATGGTAAGCACGTGTCCATCGTCCAATCTTTCCCTGGTTTGGTGCAGGGAACAAGTTATGCATAACATTATATCGAATGGGATGGAGCTATAAGGTAACACTATAACACCAACTACCAGCTACATTTCTCCCAGTACACACGCTAATCCAACTGACCAGGCAGAAAACCTACATTAACTATAGGGCACATTATTAAGCTGGCCACTGCAGCAAGTTGCTTTTATACCAGGTCTTATTATAAAGTGTCTAGTTATTTGATATGTGACACGATGGGGAAATATACAATGTATCAGAAAATATATGGGCGCCATTCAGGAGGTAATACATATATTAGTGTAGTAGCGTCCGGAATGGGCAGTGATGCAAATAAGCCATACACACAATGCACTGGAACAATGGTGATCAGGAGTAAAAGTACAAAACTGTAGAGTTTTAGGTCCCATTTGCTTACATGCGATCTCCGAGATCGTGGAACCCATATAATTGCACTGCCATCACGGGAGCAAGTAACAATATTATGTGTGAACCTGGCAAAAGGAGACAAAATAGGATGATTTAGAACTGCTGAAGCCAACAATAACCACCAGTTGGACATGAGAAGAAACCAGCTGAATGAAACTACAGAAACCCGTAAGAGCATGTAAGACAGGAGGTGAATAACCTGAAGGATTACATAAAAATAAGTGAATGACTATTCCATGACTACAAAAATTACTGACCATGAATTTCTTAGTTTAAGATTATTTTCTTCCTTAGTGGTGTGGCTGCCTTCAGATGAAAAGGATCTAGATACCACACATCCACTAAACTGCACATAGTTTACATCATTTTCATGGCCCGATAATACATCCATCTCATGATTCGGCTGGTCATGTTCCTCAGAACTACTCTTGCAAGCATTCCACACCTGAAATCAACACTGGCGATGAAAAGGGCAATTCACCTTTTGGTAGTAAAATCAGAAGTTCACAGGTGCAATAGATAAAAGAAAACACACCCTTGCAAAAGTGTCTGAGCTGCCAGTAACAAACACAGTTCCATTGGCATTAAATGCACAACACAAGATTTGGTGATTTATTGGTTGAACTTGAACAGCACTGGAAGATGCATCACCACTCTTCCCTGACATCAACACCATGCGGTTGGAATAATAAAATGTAGGCATTACACATGCAAACACAATAGACATGTTTCAATGAACTAACCAGGGGCAGCATCTGGAGGTTTTGGTGTATATATTCGTGGAGGTTGTTGAGAATATCGGGCATCCCAAATCCTGCATGTCCCGTCATCTGATGATCTGTTCCTCAATATATGTGCCAAGTTAGGGAGAGTAAAGAACTTAAAATAGGCCAGAAGAACCGTATATATAGCAAATGTAAATGTACAGACAGCGGACCAATGGTGAGGTGTTATCAAAAGAACATAAAAAAAATCTTTTCCATACATCTGATAATATGTATGTGCAATTAAACAGGATATGAAAAGTACAGCACAATGCAATGTCTACCATGTGCAACATAGCACATGAAAGAACACCAGCGTGCCTTCTTTTATTCATATGGTGGAAGCTGGAGCGGACCCTTCCCCGGACCCTGCGCAAGCAGGAGCTACGTGCACCGGACTGCCCTTTTTTATATGGTGGAAGCAGTGATATAACTTGCAAGTTTAGTAACTATAGTTGCTCTGAGTAAGAATGTAGGTAGAATGAAAATGAGCAATGCATCAAATATGCTTTCCAGTATTGACTCGTTTCTTCTCATTTTGACAAACCAAGCTTTAAACTCCATGTAAACAAGCATTTGCTTCAGTAAAATTAATGCAGATTAGACAGGACATACTGACAGGTTCTTTTTTCCATCTGTACAGCTGTTGTCATCCAGCTACTATGTACAATCATGAACGAAATAGCTGTAAAGACTAAATAACTATACTATCAGGAAAATGAGGAGAAAAAAGAAACACTCACGACAATAGCTGGAAAGCAGCACCTGGCCTTGGGCTAAATGCAATAGCAGTTACAACCCCTGTATGCCCCTTCAACACTGAGATCGGCATGCCATCAGGTATACGCCACTGCATTAGTGACCACATTCATTAAACATAAATGGAAGAAAGAACGATGTCATGACTTATTAGGAAGTACAGAAATTAGCAATCTTATCTTACCACTCTAATAACGAAATCATTGGCTGAAGATGCTACCACAGCATTATTGGAACTCACCGCGAGGTCAGTAATATCACCCTTAATTTGGAAACAGTGTAATTTAGTGAAAGGTTGTGAATATTTAAAATGTTGCATTGCAATAAGCAAACTTACTTCATGACCTCGGCAGCTAGCCAGACAAAATGCAGTTTCCATTGCCCAAATTTTAACAAGGCGATCATCAGAACCAGTAATAACAAAACGCCCTGTGCGATCAAAAGTAGCTGCGGAAACAGGAATGGTGTGAGAAACATTACAGTGTTTTAAAGGGAAATATACAGATTGACAACTACAATTATTTGACCAAAACTACTAGGACAAGGAAGAAGCAGCTGCCTCTGTTGGTGATATAGTATGGAGAACAATACGGTCTTTAGAAACAGAAAGTGGGCATTTATTGAGTAACCCCTCAAACATAAATCCACTGTAAGAACTTCCCATAATATTAAATAGGCTTGGCATTCAGTTAGGACAAAGCATGTACTGGTATAGATGGCATTAATAGAATTGACTGGCATATGAACAGAACTCCAAATATTAAAGGGAAAATTAGGCCCTGGACAATTTACTTGGATGGCAGTTGCTGAACACACCATATAATAATGATTCAGCTCACAGACGCCACAAAATTGTGATATTGTAAAGAGGGGTAAAAAAATCATTCTTGCTCTTGGAAGTTGGCATCAATCTTAACCCACTTTTGAGTGCCCTCTACCATAGATACAACTAGAGGACTCGTGTACAGTATGTCTGTGTGGCATGCGACATGGCACCAACACAGGTAGGCTCAGTAAGTTTATGAGGGAAAATTGGCTATTCGAAAAACTATTGCTGTAATGGCCAGAGTGTATTCAGTGTCCCTGAGCCAAAAAATGGTTGTGTTTCAGTAAATGTTGTCCAAGTGGTGTGCAAAGAAGTTTTGCCAGTATTAAAATAATTTACTTGAACATGATTAAATTCAGTAAACGAGGAAATTCAACTGACCACAATACACAGCGTTTTGATGTCCCCTCAATTTCTTTATAATTTGCATCTTTTCAACAAGGGTAGATGGCTTCGCAATGGCATAGCATGATGCACGGACAGAAGGAGCTCGATGATTCTTAGTGAAGCCACCAATCTCTCTTAAACTTAAACCATGAACTTGATCAGCCTGTATATGTGGCCAACGGAGATACGTCGGCAACCTGTGATTTTCCTTTTCTTGCCGGCCCCTATTAGCTGAAAGGATCCAAAATTGCATCAGTACAGAAGTAACAGCACAAAATTTTACTGAACATAAAACGACCTATCGAAACTTCAAAACTCACTAAGTTGCAACAAACATAAATAGC